CTGCGCGGGCCGGTCCTGAGTTCACTCCGCAGTTTGGCTCTGCTCTGAGTTTTGTTGGCCCGCGGAGGCGGGGGCCAGCCCTCCCCTCCCGCACAAAGGGGGTTGAAAGTCTATTTTCCACTTGGCTGGATCGAAATACTCCGCGCGAGCACCCGCGGATCCTTGCCCCCGCGGAGAGGAGAGCGCTGCTGCGCGCCCGTGGGCTTTCCGCGGACACGTTCCCGCAAGAGGCTGCGGGGAAGGAGAAGGGTACGAGAGGAAATAATACACGAAACCTCCGCAGAAATTAAAGCCTAAAAATGGAGGGAGCGCGTCGCCAAAGTGCTTTTTTTTATTTTTATTTTTATTTCCGAAGGAGAAATAGAGAGAAAGAACCTACATTTGAAATATATATTTATATTTAACAACGGAAATAAAGAAACAGGGCTGGGTCAGCCGGCTGGTGGAGAGGGCACCCAGGCGCGGAGCGGGGCGCACCGGCGGAGGGATGGGGAAGGGGAAGGGAGAGGAGAAGGGGAAAGGAAAGGGAAAAGGTAAGGGGAAATAGAAGGGGAAAGGGAAAGGACGAAAAGAGAAGGGAAGGGGGACGTGGAGACAGCGCTCGGCTCAGACACGGGGGCTGCGCCCGGCTCCGGACCATTTGTGGAATTTAATTTAAATCAATTTAATTCAATTTAATTTTTTTTTTTTCCTCTCTCTCTGTTTTCTTTGATCCCCGAGCCGGGCCGGGGGTGGGCGAGGCAGAGGTGCGGACCCTCCGCCCCCGCTCCCCCGCAGCCGCCGGTCGGGACCGGGCGGTGGCAGCGCCTCAGGCCGCCGAGCGCTGAGCGGGGCCGGGATTTCGTTTCGCGCGGATCCCGCCGCCTTTCAGCCGCTTCTGCGGGGGGAAAAGAAAAAGTCGGCCGGGTGCCGGCTGCTCACAGCGGGAATCCCCGCCGGCAGCATCTCCCCTCCGCTCCCCGGCTCCGCAGGAACCTTTTTTTGGGGGAGCTGCTTCGGTTTGGGGGATATATCGTCCTACTGGAAAATTAGAAACCTTTAATTTTTATTTTTTTTCCCCCGTTTTTCCTTGTGGTTTTCAGTCCCGTCTTGGTGTCCAGACGAGGTTCCCTGGATGCTCTGGAGGGAGCCAGGGCTTGCTGGGAGCTCGGAAGCTGCTGTGCTGAAATCAGGAGAGAACCCCAAATTTATCTTTACATTTCTTTTCCCCGCTGCCGTGCCCAGGCCTGCTCCCACCTCCAGGATAATTCAGGCAGGACCTTTATCCCCCATAGGAATAAAATGCAGACACCCCACCCCGACCCAGGCGGGTGCCTTGACTCCAGCCACTGGTGTCCCCGGCTTATTAAAGAGGAAAACTTTAGCGCCTGCACCCCCAGGAGGAGGTGATCCGGGAGCAGCCTGCCTTCCCACTGGATTCCTGGCCGGGAGGAGCTCTGAGTGGAGGAGAAAGGCATTTTATTTTTTAACGAAAGAGCCGCAGAGGATGCCAGCGGAGCGGGGGGACGCAGCCGGCAGCGGCGGTGGGCAGGCAGGGTTGGGCAGGGGGTGCTCTGCCGGGATTAGGGGGTGCTGGTGGGGGAAAGGTGTGATCTGATGCCCATTAAAATACAACAGTGAGGATTTGCCGAGGAGCAAACGAAAGAGGAAGGAAGGAGAGGGAGAGGGGGACAGGACAGGCACTAAAAACTGGCCCTGGGGCTGGGGGTAGAGAGTCAGCTCCGGGGATGCTGTAAGCAGCAGGTCCATCCCCATCCATCTGCATCCCCAAGCCCTGGCCACTGCTTGCCTGCCTGGACTCAGTCCCTGCCTGCACCCCTTCCTCCTTCCACAGCAGGAGCAGGGAGGCTTTTCTGGGGCCGGATCGGGCGCACTGCCGGCAGGTGCAGTCCGTTCCCCCCCCCAGCTCGTTAATCTGTAACACATCGGCCTCCAGCATCAAAGGGCAGAATGTGGAAAATCAGGCCCCGGGCCCCGGAGCGTGGCCACGGGCACAGCTTGCTGGGATGTTAAAAGTTGACCAGACTTCAAAGTGCTGGATCATTTCCTCCTAACCTCTCCCACCTGCTCTTCCCGTGGGCACAGCTCCTTGCCCTGCCCGGATTTCTTCTCATCATCCTTCAAAGGTGGTCCCAAAGTGAAAAGGAGAAGAATGGGGCTGATGGGGCTGTATTTTGGGTTAGGGGGACAAGGAGGTCCAGAGCCTGCTTGTCTTGGGCTGCTCCCCCTTTCCTGCTTCTTTGGCTTCTTTTTTTTTTTTTTAATTTCCCTTGGTTCAGGGATATGTTGGATGGCAATAAACTGACCTTACACAACCCCATGGGCTTCAGCAGGTTATTCATCTCAACTCCCTCAGTTTCCTTTTTTTAAGGTGTTTTTGGCAACTGGTTCATCGATGGTAGATGGACGGACAGACAGACGCATGGATGGATGGATGGATGGATGGATGGATGGATGGAGAAAAAAGTAAAAGGCAAGAGAGCAAGCCGGGGGACGGCAGAGGCCGGCAGGTGGAAGGGCAGGGACCCCGGGGACAGCGGGCTGGCTGCGGGCTGCGGGCGGGAGCGGGAGACCCCCGGCGCCTCTCCCGGACGGGCCCGGGGCCGGTGCGGCCGGTCGGGGCAGCGGGGGCCGGGCCGGAGCCGTGTCCCGGCGGGCCGGTGCCCCCGGACGCCGCCGGCAGCGGCCGCAATTCCCGGCGGAGCCGCCGTAGCCCGAAGGCAGAGGAAGGGTTGGTGCCGAGCAGATAACCCTAATCTGGGCTCCTCCGGCCCGGCCCGGCCCCAGGGACACCCCGGGGCATCGCGGCGCGGAAAGCGGGGACAGCGAGGGGCCAGGGATGGAGAGGAAATGGAAACAAAATGGAAAGAAGAAATGGAAAGAAAAAAAAATGAAAGGAAAGAAAAAAATGAAATGGAAAGGAAAGGAAAGGAAAGGAAAGGATACAGGACACAGACAGAGAAAGGAATATAAAGAGGTACATAAGAAAGGGAGAGACAGAAAATGAGAGAAAGAAGAGAAAAATAAAGGAAATAGAGAGTCGTCAAAAGAAGAGAGAAAAGAAAGAGGGAAAGAATAAAGGAGCAGAGAAAAAAAAGACGGAAGGAAGGAAAGCAGGAAGGAAGAAAGGAAGGAAGAGAAAGAAGGAAGGAAAGAAGGAAAGAAGGAAAGAAGGAAGGAAAAGAAGGAAGGAAAAGAAGGAAGGAAAAGAAGGAAAGAAAGAAGGAAAGAAAGAAGGAAAGAAAGAAGGAAAGAAAGAAGGAAAGAAAGAAGGAAAGAAAGAAGGAAAGAAAGAAGGAAAGAAAGAAGGAAAGAAAGAAGGAAAGAAAGAAGGAAAGAAAGAAGGAAAGAAAGAAGGAAAGAAAGAAGGAAAGAA